TGTAAATATGGCTCATTGATTTATAACATATTGACCTTTTATTTGACTATCAGTTGAAAAGCTGTACTATTTCCTTATAAAGCTAGTAAGTGCATGCATGAAACAAAAAATGTAGGTCAGCTATGGAATGCAAAATTAGATATTACAAAGAGTCACCCATTTAGAGAGCCAAGGACTTAACTAATTTACATTAGCTGTGGATTAATGACATCTTTCTTTTGACCATGAAAATAGTCAATAATCATTGGGAAGCTTTGCCAGTTCAGTCCTCTGGAAAGCAACACTGAAGTGGAGTTAGGAGTTAGAAGGAGATTTATATAGGAAAATACCCACAAGACACAGAGCTGGGGTAAGCAGGAAGAGCCTTTGGACTGTAGCACAGATATTGACACTTGTGAATAGAAGAGAGGCACATTGGGTCACACTTCAGTTAAACTGAAGCCTTACCTTGGTAGGCTGGTGGGGAGCCCAGAGCAGAGTTGGCCTGCTAGAGGGAAGCATACTGGGAGGAAATAGCCCTTTACTGGTGTCCCAGCCATGCTCGGTTCTTGGCCCTGAGCAGTCTGGTGAGAGCATAAGTGTAGCTTGGATATCACAGCAGATTTTGAAAGAACCAGCTAACCTACTCTTTAAAGCAGGTTGATTTAAGTGGCATATCTCAGTAGCTTCCACAAAGGTACTGTGTGATTCAATTAAATTGACAAACATTTATTGGTTGCGGTTTTGTGCAAGAATTATGTGAGGCACTATTAGGGACTTTGGGGCCAGGGATATAGCTCAGTGGCAGAAGTGCCTGTCTGGCAAGCGCAAGGTCCTGAGTTCAATTCCCCATACCCTCCCCCCACAAAAGAATTAAACTATTGGGGACTTTGAGAGTTTATTTATTTACACAAACATGCATTCAACAGATATTTATCGAGGGATTATCATGTCCAAAGCAATACTGTAACTATAGAATGTGCATCTTAATCCATTTAGAGACCACTTTTAAAATATGTATCTCACATCTTCTGTTCTAGGATGGAGGCTTTTGCTGGTTGTGCATTAGAATGTTGTAGAACTTTAGGATTAGAATGCTGCACATACAGTGTCTCCCACACGCTTTCCTTTTCTGTGTTCTTGGAAATAAAAGAACATTATTTGCCTTACTTCACATTTTCTCTAATGGGTATAAAATACAGAGATCAAGGGTATGGGAATTAATCCTGTGAAGAGTCCTCGCCAGGTGAAAATGGAAATAGTTAATCTTATTTAACGTCATGTTGTGGTAAATCCACACTTGCATAATTTAGCTCTCTGCCAAGAGTGCAGTTGCTGTAAATAGTCTGTAAGGAATATATATGAAGTATGAAAATACTGCAGTGCTGGTGAGCTGTGAAGAATGCCAAATTTGCTGAAAAGCTTATTCTCTGATGTGATATCAAGCCACAAACTTAGGATTGGAGGATGAAGAGAAATCGGTAGTGATATGAAGGTCATACTATATTTATTTTAGGTTCTAAGAAATCCTTGTTTATGTACCATTTATTCTCTACATTGTAGTTTCTTTTTAATACCTACTCTTGTTGCGTCTGCCTGCATTTTGATATTGGCGTCTCCCATCTCTTTTTCGTTTGGGCTGACCTAGGTGCTGTTCAGAGCTGTTCGTTCTGCATCAGCAAGGATGCCTTTACCCTATTGCTGTGGCTGCTGCACGCATCATTAGTACAGCATGTAGTGATTTTAATGTTATTTCTAAACCACCATCGCCTCATGCCATTATTTTAATTTAGGACCAACTGTTCAGCCATATGGAGCAGTTTGTCATTCAACATCTGTATGTTCTTGCAAAATATGAATTTATCTGTGTGCTTTATGCCTTTTAATGTGCTGTATTTTGTATGGGAAAGGCAAATCTTTTCATTTTATTAATGTTATCATTGACTAACTATTCCATTTATTTTTCCCATGAAGAGTTTAAGGTTGAATTGGGATGCTTTTAAAAGTAATTATGTAAGGATATGAATACCTGTGTTCTATGTCAGCCTCACTTGAGCCCACAGGTAGATACAAGGACACCTCACTGACCATTTATTTTTGTTTCACAAGTTGCTCATCTTCCACACGGTTTTTTTCTAACTCTTAAGCACTGGGAATCTGGAAAAGCATCATAGAAATGGCATTAATTTACCTCATTGCAGTCTGACTTCTGTCTTGTCTGTTCTCTGACGTCCTGAAATTGTCTCTCTAGCTGCATAGCCTTTTAGACTATAGCACACTAATCTAAACCTCATGTCCAGGCAGGAGGGAGTGCCCAGCCAGCTACACACGGTGATTCTAACATTCTTCCCAAACAGCTTTTGTCTAGAGGGGAATCTAAATCTAAGAAGAAACAATTAAGTTCTCTTCTAGGCTTATGCCATTGGCATTGGGAGAGAACCAGTTGTGCGGCAGTGTTAGGAAGAGGCTAAGAGCACAGGTCTGTATATCCAGCTGTTCACTTACTAACTTTGTGTAACCTTGGGCAAGTTGTGTGAAGTATATTTGAAAAGAAATGAATAAATACTCCATCATCTCAAATGTTTTTACATTTAAAGTTGAATAATTCTCTTATAGTATAATATAAAACTGATTAACAATGTTAAATTACTAATATAAATAACATTTTTAGTGTCAGTTATTTTATATAATTCATATTTATTCTTGAGATTTTATGGTAATTCATAAACTACTTTTTTATTTCCATTTTGAATAATGATGTTTGGCTAGTTATTATTCATTAATATATTGACAGAAAGTAGCAAGAAAGAACTAAACTAATAGCCTAAATGAAAATTGTAAAAAAACAAAAAGCATAACTTAATGCCTGATATACATATTTTATTGATATTATTGTGAATAATTGATAGTAAAGTTTTAAAATATTCTTCTTTTATAATTAAGCGTTCATTAGCTGTAGTAATGAGCTTCTGCAGGACAGTATTTTTCACAAACACAGATTGCATTGTTTGTGCTCATTCCTGGCTCCTTACGACCCACCCTGGCTGCCCAACTGTGCGATCTGCATTTCTGCTCCTACCTCACAGTCAGGGAGGCAAAGCATTGATGCTTCTCATGAGAGAAACTGTGGCTATATTCATCTTAACAAAAAAAGTCATTTTGGAATCTTTTTATTAAATACATTTCTAAACACACATCTATTCTAAATGTGCCTCGGCCAGAGTATAACTAATACTAGTTCTTTAATGTTGATGTTTTAAAGAGAAATTATTCTTTCATCTGTTTCCAATTCTTCATGTATGTTAGTGTTGAAAGAAATGATGTCTTCCCACCAGCCTTTATGTTTGAGTTTTTTTTTTCCTGTTTTCATCCTTCATTCTCATTTTCATAGACAGTTCCCACAATCAGACAGATTTAAAGTAAATACTTGATTTTGGTGGGCTAAAATTAACATAACTGTATATGTTGGTATTTGAGTTTTTCAAGAGTTTTGTTGGAAATACCTGCCTGGCATATGAATTAAATGTATGTTATTGAGACAAAGTAGCTTTTCCCATGAAGCTTTTTGCACATTTTCCAGGACCTTACTGATTTCAGTTGTCTGGATCACTTTAGTCCTCATTTCATGATAGTCTCTTCTTATTCATCTGTGTGTGCCCTTTTTTTACTTAGTGCTTTTAAACATTATTATACCACCTGTGAACACAACACTTAAATGCTAAGATCTTGATAATAGCCTATATATATATAACCTAATGGTTTCCTTCCATTCCCTGGGTCTTCAGTCTCAGAACTATTTCTTTGAATTCAGTATTTACTAGTCTCTGGGGTTCTTTTTTATATCCTTTTAATTGTATCTATTTTTTCCAAAACATTCTTTTAATTTAGTCACTGTACATCTATCAAAGAGCATCACATTGTGTGTAATTCTTGTATGTATTTTTAGGTTACTGTAAATTACCAAGAATCTCTGTGTTATGTGTCTTTTGTTCATTCTGACTGCTTTATAATCCAAGGGAGTGAATATACCACTGTTTATCCAACTGCTGTTCTTGTAGTTAGGTTGTTTCTAGGTGCTAACAGTTGTGAACACCTTATGGACAATCTAGTACATGCTTCCTGTTGTTACCATGGAGAGATTCTCTCAAGAATAAAGTTGCTGGGATGTATAGTATATGAATTTTCAAATTCAGGAGATAATGTCAAATGGCTTTCCAGAGGGAGTATACCATTTTGTAATCACGACAACAATGTCTAAGAGACCCTGTAGATCCATATCCTCTCCAATGCTTGGTATTATACTCTCGATTTTTGTCATTTAGATAGGTATGAAATGATATCTTAATTTTCTTTATGTTTATTGGGCATATTTATTTCCTCTTTTGTGAAATCCCTTTATAATTTTTTTCCTGTTTTCCCCTAAGATGTTTATATTAGTAATAATCTAGGAATTCTCTATTCCTGATATTAATTCTTTGGTTGGTTGTATGCATTTTGAGTATATTTTCCTTGTTTGTTAGGTGGTGTTGTATTTTCTTTAAGGTCTTGTTAATGAACAGAACTTCTTAATTTTAACATAATCAAAATCTATTAATCTTTTACAGTCCATAGTTTTTGTGACTTCAGTAATCTTTGTCTAACACCAAGGTCTAAAAGATATTTATCCATACTTTCCATTAAAAAAATTAATGATTTATTATTTTAACATTTACGACATTTATCCCACTAGAATTTACTTTTATTAATTGAATGAAATAAAGATTTAACCTCTATCTTTTCATGGACTGTTTTTTTAATCTCCAGCTTTGAGCACTTTGTTCTTAGTTCCATGCTTTAACTTGTCACCTGTGTCATATACCAAAGTTTCATAAGTACATGCCTCTATTTCCAGACATTTTATTCTGTGCTGTTGTTCAGTCTTTGTGTCTGTATGAATGTGTATGTGTGAGTGTGTGTTCAGTTTTGAACCTTTTATACATACATATATATGTAGATTTTAAGTACTTCGGTTTTTCTGCTAGGTTTTGGACATAGTGAAAACAAGTATTCGTTCAGTTCTTCCACGTATCTGGAAGGTACCTGATGTTGAAGAAGTAAACTTATATCGGATTTTCAACCGAGTTTTTAATCGCTTACTCTGGAGTCATGGCCAAGGACTATGGAATTGTTTCTGTGATTCAGGGTAAGTTCTAAGTCATCTTTTGTTATCGTAATTTTTAATATTTTACTATTTAGCTATGTAGATAATCCAGTAGAATGGTTGAATTTTTTTAATAATATTTTAAAATATGCATTTTTACTACATGTAATTGTTAGTACTCAACTCTAATTTATATCAATTAAGCTGATTTAGGTAAGATGATTAATACAAGCACAACACCTTGTAACTAATTTGAATTCAGTGGAGAGATGGCACTCTTAATTAATGAAAAATCTTAATTGTAAATCAGTATCTTTCAGGTTATCTGGCTGTTTCCTTTATGTAGCAGACTTTTAAAATTATGGCTGTACTCTACTTCCTCTCCAAAGTTCTGTGCTGCCAAAGCTGCTGTGAGACCTTGTCATTCTGTCCTCAAGACACCTAAAACTAAACATTCTGATGTCCTTTAATTCAAAAGTGGCTTCCCTTCCTGTCTTTCCTTAATCCTGGTGTTGTTTTTCTAGTCATACAGGCTTGAAATATTTCTGAGGTATTTGCATTTTTCTTCTTGTACTGTCTTTATTCACTTATTTACTAAGTCCTCTTAGTTTTGGTATCACATTTCTGCTGTGGCTACTCTAAATTGTCATTTGTTCTTTTAACAATTGTCAAATACTTATTACTGTGTTAGATGTTTTTGGAAATAGGAAGTCGAATCTGATGCAGTTGCTGCCCTCTGAGGAAACTTAGCAGTGATACTGGTTGAATATACTATTTACTTTGTGTCAGATGCCTGACATATATTTGTGTCAAGTATTGTTTACATGTGTTAAGTGGTGTAATCCTATGACATCACTTTGAGTCAGGTGGTATATTAGCTCCCGCTTATGGATAAGGAATCCAGCATGCAGGTAGATGCTAAGGACCTAGAACTGGGATTTGAATGCAGTTAGCACTGATCCCAAAGTTCATGCTCTTAACCAATATGCTCTGATATCTTTAGTGTACAAAGTGTGATATCCACAAAAGTATTCATTTTAAAAGAGGCACAGAGAAAGTATGATAGAATTTCAGGTGAGAGAAGGGCTTGGCAGAAAGGCTAAGTGAAAGGAGAAGATTCTAGGCATTTCTACCTCCCTTACGTATCTTACTGTCAGGGTCATTTCCTTGAAATGCAGATTTCCCTTATTTATCATTACAATCTAAATTTCTTACCTATAGATATAAGACTCTCTCATATGCTGATTATTTTTTATTTCTTCAATCTTTTCTCTCAGGACTTTGTATATAAACTCTGTTCCAGAAAAAGAAAGTTACTATTTTTCAAATATCCTAAAAGCATGTCCCTTCTGCATTACGAGATTCTTTGATAAAATCAATAGTCCACCTACTTTAACTTTTTAACTGTTTCTACCTTCTTTCACTTTTCACAATTGTATTGTGAGTATTGGCACTGAGACACTGTAGTCTGTATTTCAAAGCCGTTTTACCTTGATTGCCTGTTCCGGCTGGCAGGTAGGTGCAGGGGACACAGTGCTGATAGCCTCAGCATAGGTTTTCTTCTTGCAGAGGGGACTGCATTAGCCCAGCACCAGAAGAAGCAGGGCTCATTCATTTTTTGTCTTGTCTCTCCATGAGGGGTCTGGTATGCTGACCCTGGATAAGGACTAATAGAGTAGAATGTAGCTTTTTTTGCCATGGGTGAATGTATGTACAAGAAATAAGTATTTATAGGGTTTTCATTCATATATTTATTTTAAATATTTAAAAAGGATTGAGAGGATGAGTAGCCAAAGCTGGTTGCTTTATAACTCCACAAATGGGGTTATTAAGTTACATCAAATGATAAATTTCCAAAGCCCATTTATCATTTTCCACTTTATTTATTCTTTTTCTATTTCTAAACCCCAAGTTAAGAAAATTGCCATGATTTAAGTGAGCTGATAGAGGATCTAATCAGTAGCTCCAAAGTATAAAAAATAAATATATCTCCACTGAAAGTGGAGAGTGGTGATAGAGGGAGACTTTTGTCCACACTCAGAATTCCTGTGGGGAAAAAAGAACAGTGCGAGGCAGATGCTCAAAACATAGGACTTCTCTGGGTGTATTATTTATATTTACATAAAATGGTTATATCTTTAACTCAGGCATTTAGGGCCTTCTTGATTATGGTATATTAATTATAAACATGTTCCCTCAATTTTTTTGTCAAAGTAGTTTAAACTGATTTTAAGTCTATACTAGTGAAACATATAATATCTAGTTGTTCTTATGTTTAGTGATAGTTTATATTTTACTTTGAGTTAATTTAACTAATATTGTTTACTGAGTGAAAATAAATCTTACTCCTTTGTTAACAAAAAAAGTATTGAGTTTAGTCCTGAATAGCTCACAACACAGAAGGAAATTTGTTTCTTTCAACTAAGTCATTTGAATCTTACTCCTTCAGAAAACCTGTTATTCGCCAATAACATGCTGTCTTTTGGGGATCATGTATCTCCTGAGAAAGTCAACAGTAGTATTTCTAGTGAAAAGAGTTGCATTTACACTAATGAATGTCTCATATCCTCTCATTCATATTCATTCATTCATTCTCATACTATTTCTCTCTCTCTTTTTGTCTATCTCTCTGTGTCTCTGTCTCTTTCTATCTGTTTGTGTGTATCTGTCTCTCTGTTTTTCTCTCCTTCTCCTATTTCCCCTCTTTTTTTCCTCACGCTCTGAGAGGTAAGGTGCTTTCTCATTTCAACCATGATGGTAAACTTAGGAATTGTTAACACACACACACACACACACACACACACACACACACACACACGCACATGCATACAGTTAAGGCTTATGGGGGGAAGTGTGTATTATTACCTTCTCTGAAATAACTAAGGGCACTTAGGAAGAAAGGACACAAACTTTGGGATCGCAATACTTACTGAGAGAATATAATTTGTAGAGCACAAAACCAGTGCTCTAGGAATACCATGGATACAGTTACATCTGCGAGTGTTTTGAAACGTATGGGCATAATCAAGGGATTAACCCAATATTCTCGTAGTGCAGAGAGGTCACAAACTAAATGGCAGTACATTATTTGGGTTAAGGTAAAATACTCTGCATGTGTTATATACTTTGCAATCATCCACAGTGACTACAGATCTGTGAGACCATTTCCATCTTCCTTTATCAGTTTGTTGCTAGGTAAGTGATACAGCTGGTTGCCATTTCTAGGAGCAAACATGAAGTCCTGTCTGTTTCCATGCCAACAGATCCTCCTGGGAGAGTATATTCAGTAAAAGCCCGGAGGTGGTGACTCCTTTGCAGCTCCAGTGTTGCCAGCGCCTGGTTGAGCTGTGTAAACAGTGCCTGCTAGTGGTTTACAAATATGCAACAGACTCCAGAGGATCCCTCTCGGGCCCTGGTCCTGACTGGGGTAACTCCAGGTACTTGTTTATGTTCTCTAACCTCTGTGAGCTTGATATAAAGTAATGCCACAGCACAATCTGAAGTTGAGTGTCTCTTTTTGCTTAGACTGAAAATTCATACATGTTGTGATCTGTGAATTATTTTCAGTTAGCATAGTATTTACCTTTTAGGAGCTGAATGAGGACAGCAATCACAGACTTGAAAGTGACAAAGATGATGTACATGGAAATGAGCTTATTTGATTTATATACTTATAGTTTCAAAAATTCAGTAAGAGCATCCAAAACTGTGGTAATAAATTTAGCTTTTGTTTCCCAATAGGGATATTTCAACATTTATCCTTGAGCCTACTGCAGTCGGGAGGATGCCTTTGCTTTAATTTTATTGTGCAGTATGCCTCTGCCACCTTCATCACCAAACCAATCTGAAAGAGGTGAATTTTTGTCAAGTTCTATTTCAAAATTTTTTATTAATGTTACCCAGTTAAAATAGGTAGTTTTTCAAAAGTCTGAAAAACAGTACTATTTTTAAACTGCAAAACTAATGCAGAGTAAATAAAGCACATTTTCGCTTTTTCAGAACAGTCCTAGTTCCTATTAGAAACAAAGAAGAATAGGTAACTTTTTGTTTTATCATGTATAAATTGTACTACTCAAGATAGAAGAAAGTAGATATGACTCTGAGAAACTAGATAATAGCAAAAGTTAAATAGTAGTGCATAAGCAGTAAGGAAAATGGAACTAGTAAAGCTTGGATTCTCTTTTTGAAACAGCTAGAAATATGTTTATTAAAAAATCCCAATGAAGATAATAAAGTCATTTCCTACAATAGCAAAATGGCTCAGATTATTTTTCACCAGAAGCATCATGAGAGAGAATTTAAATTTTTGTCTTAGATTCTATTATTGTACCTTTGCAGGTCCTTTAACCTGTTTTAAGTCTTCTGCAAATAGTAACTGGTTGATCACAATAACGGTAGAGGTAAAGTTAACCATAAATATTTAAATTTGTCAAAGGTACGTAGTGTATTGATTTGACTGAAGGAAATCATTGAACAAGTTACTAATATCATTAATAGTTGATTTAAAAGAATGATAGGATTTTTTAGACATTACAGTGTATAAATGAAGAGCCTTCTCTCTAAGGGTGATACTCTGGGAGCATGACCAGGAAAATGTTAATTCCTAGTCTAACAAGTAATTCATCCAGACCCTTTGATGTCATTCTTGCAATTCTAGATTTCATAACACAGTTCTGTTGTTGGATGTTGTGGATAAGCAGATAGGATGAGTCTTCCTGGTTACTGTGGAGGAAGAAGTGAACAGCTGGTTTATACCTTTCTATCATATTTCCTTGCGGTATTCAGGAGAGATAGTCCAGACTCTGATGGTCAGACCTTGGAATCTTAGAGTTCTGGACTTCTGATAAGCTCTCAGGATGACCTTAGTATTGTGAATATAAGCCTTTGTGGTATCAATAAGTATACTTTAATTCCTGCCCAGGTTCAGAACTCTTTGAAAGAGAGCTACAGGTTCAGACAACTACGCACAAAATGTAGCTCTTTTACTGATAAAAGTTACATTGGGACATAGTACACGTGTTAGCCTGTTGAGTTTTCTAAATTTGAATTCTGAATTAAGTGTATTCACTCCAAGGCAGAGCTGGACCAACCCAAACTTTCCACTACCATTAGTGTATAATGCCTAAATCCTTTAATGATGGTAGGAAGGTAAGTGACGGCGCATCCTCTCCACAGAAGGACTGAGAAGATAGACCTTCCTTCTTTTATAACTACAAATCAGAGAACTCAGTTCTGGTAAGAGGCCAGGAAGTTTGCACTAGTAGCAGTTCGTCTACATGGAAATGAGTGGGCAATAAACATTTCTGCCTAATGGCTAGGTATAATGCTCAAGTCAGTGTGACATTAATTTAAGGACATAATTTTTTCTCTCATAGATATGTAAGGGAACCTATGGCATTCTATTTTATATGTAGAAGTTATTTAGTATTTGTTAGTATATTTATGCAGTATATCTGATAAAATACACATATAAATTTATATTTATACATAAACATTAATTATAAATACATAAATACAAATGTACTCAACCTACTTTTAAGATATACCTAAAAATTTATGAGAAGAAATATCTTTGCTAATTTATCTATAAAATTAAAAGACCAAAAAAACAGAGTTAACATCAGTTAGATATATGGGTCATGTTTATCTTGACCAGAAATCTAAGGTATGAAGAGGATTTAAGCAGTGTATGGCATCTATTACATGAAAAAGTGTAGTCTTCAGGTCCTGAGTTTGATTCCTGGTAGTTTAAAAAAAATGCGTCTTTAACCTTGTAATCTCAGGAATAAAAATTTATTAGGCACACATGAAAGGCTGTTTCTCAGAGGTGGGCTCATAATAGTTAAGTAAACATAGCTGATACGTAAACCTACATGATCAGTTAGAAACACACACATATATGACATACGTATATAATCTCCAGGATACTAGAGTGTTGGGGACCAGCTCAATATTTCACTGTTAATAAACTTTACTTGGGGGATGGAGATAGAGCTCAGCAGCACAGTGCCTGCCTGTCAAGTGCAAAGTCCCGAGTTTGATTCCTGGTACCAAAAAAATAAATGCTTGGGAAACTTTGGGATCTCCAACTACTTTTGACCTCCTGGTTTATATGGTTTCACTAGCCAATAATATCAGTCCTACTCAGAGAATGGAAAAACGGGGAACTATGCTCCCATGTTTTATGAGGCTACCATGCCTTTGATACAAAAACCCAAAAAAGATATTGGCAAAGGAAAATTAATGTTCATTGTTGCCCTTAAACAGAAGGAAAAATCTTAAACCAAATATTAGCAGGTTGAACCCAGAGAGTTTAAACAGATAATATATCATAACCAACTTACGCTTATTGCATTAATTTAAAGATGCAATAACATTAAAAAGTGATCAGTGTAATTTGCTACGTTATTAGAATAAAAGGTCATTTTGAAAGATACAAATAAATCACTTGATAGAATTCAGTATACATTCAAGGTTTAAAAACTGCTTAGCTAGATAGAAAAACATTCCTACTCTAATAAAGGATATCTGTAGAAATACTATAAGGAACATGCCTAAACACTGAATTCTTTCAACATGAAGACCAAGACAGATGAGGAACAAGACGAGATTGCCTTTTACCATTTTAGCATTGTGCCAGAAATCTTAGCTGGTTCAATGAGGAAAATAAATGAGAAAGGCTTGAGATTTGACATAAAGAACTAAAACTCATTACCAGTGGACATCATTGTGCTCATACAAATCTAAATAACTCTATAGGGAAAATGAATGTAACAATTTTGATGATATCTAAGTCAGTATAAGAAAATAAATTGTTTTTCTACATCAACAGCTAGAATATGAAAATTTCAAGTATGATTTTTAATAGATTGAAAGAATATCTAAAACTTAGAAATAAAGCAAACAAAACCATAAAATTTAGATGCAAGAAAATGCAAAAAACAGAAAGATATGTTATTCATCATCAGAAGCATTATCATTAATATGTCAGTTCTCAAATAGTTCCATGTATCTACAAATTCAATGTAATCTTACGATAATTTCCAACGTGTTTATTTTATAAACATTTTTATAGGGAAAACATTTAACAAATTCTTGTTTTAGCATTTGTAATATGCAAAAACAAAGAAAAAAGAATAGGAAAGGTAATCTTGAAATATATTTGTAAAATGGTAGGATTTATTAACTACTGTGTACTAAGACTTTTAAGAAAAATAAAGGTAGTTAAGATAATGTAAAATTGGCAAAGGGATAAACAAACCAATGGAATTATTTTCAAGAGCCATAAACTGAAACAGGCCTGTTTGCCAACTAGATTTATGACAAAAGAAGATTCAGGTTTTTTTTTAATGAAAAAAAAATGGGCAAAGGAAGTTTGTTAAACAGTGCTAAAACAATTAGGCTGCTAAATAAGGATAGTTAAAGAAAACTTGATTTTATCCATTCCATAAACAAAAACCATTTCCTGATGAGCCGAGTAAATACACATGGAAAAAAACTTAAATATTTTAGCATATAGAACAGTTTCATTATTTCAAGTGTGCAGTAGTTATAAAAATAGTATTAAAGTGCTAACTGTAAGTGAAAAGATGAATAGATTTGGTTATATTAAAAACATACGTCCTGCAGAATACCCTATTAAGAAAGGAAAAAGCAAGACACAGGATGGAGAAAGGTATTTGCAACCCATATACTTTAAAAAAATTGTACATATTTTATAAGCATGCCTAGACATTTTCAGCAAATAACCCAGACCACTAATGAAAAACAAGATATTTGAAAAACAGATTTAAAGTGTCTAAACTAATTGTGATAAGCAGAGAAATACAGTATCACAAAATCAGTGCATATCTAATCCTGCATACCAAGAGTTCCTGAGAATGTAGAGAAGTGGGAACTCGCTTATACTGCTTGTGAGAGGGAAGACTGGGATCTTTTACAAACGTTCCTGTATTACATACTTAAGCATACCCTCTTCATGACTGTTCTACTCCCAGTAAACTAAGCAGTGTGTGGGTATGAACATCAGTATTTTTATTAGAATGATCATAGTAGAATTTACTCATATTCCTAAAGTTTGGAAACAATCCAAATACTCATAGAAGAATGGAAACATTTTCTCTAATGTCCATATAATGGAGTATTATAATGGTATTATAATAGAGTTTTATAATGGTATTATTATGGAGTATATCATTGGTACTGAACAAATCTACCTACATACTGCAACATGAATAAAGTTGAGCGGAAGAAGTGAGATGGAATATATAATTTGTTTACTCTGAAGTAGACAAAATTAAAATTTGATGTTTAAGGAGTGCGTACTTGAGTGGTAAATAGGAAAGTAAAGATAAGGACAATGGTTTAAATTCATGAGGTGGGAAGGTGCTGTAATATAGTGCTCAAAAGTGCTATAATGTTCAGTTACTTAACCTTG